GATCTCTTCAGTACTTTATGCTGCCCCAATTGTAAGCTTCTTGCATCAGGGATCTTACACAATAGTGAAGTCTAATATCTGTAAAATGGAGATAAGGATGGTATCTACCTTAAAGAGCTGTAAGGATTAGTTAAGTGTTTATATATAAAGCCCTTACAATATAGCCTGGTCCTTGGGAAGCACTCAGTAAAGGCAAGTTGTTATTGTTTGTAATGACATTATTATTATTATTACCGTAACTACCGCTGCTCCTTCATTACCAGGAAGAGGGCCTTGTACATAACAGGAGCTCATAAATAGCCAATGAGTGAATGAATGAGTGGCTTAATCATGCTCTGCTTTCATTCTTCAAGGTAGGGGATCGGGTGATGGTGTTGGTCCGCTGCGGCATGTGGCAGGAGGAGGTGACTGTGCTCTCAGCCCAGACCTTTCTGATGCCTGAGGCCATGACCTTTGAGGAAGCTGCTGCCTTGCTGGTTAATTACATCACCGCATACATGGTCCTCTTTGACTTTGGCCACCTACGGCCTGGCCACAGCGTCTTGGTACACATGGCTGCAGGTAACAGGCCCCTTTCCTTTATGCCCCTCCTGAGCCAGATTTCCTCCTAGGCCCCTTCTCAGTAGCATGTCTGGACTGTTGCCATGGTAACACCAGGCTGCCTTGGCCTATGGCTCCCAAGGCCTCTGCAGTATTGTTGCCGTGGCAACATTCAGGCACCAGATCCAGCCTGGTGTGCTATCCATAGCAACATGCTGTGGCCCAGCACCCCTTCCTTGCCAGATACCCTTCCCCCAATTCTCAATCACAGAAATTGGACGTGAGATGAGCGGAGAAAGCCTCTGATTGAGCCCAGGCAAAATGAAGATGGTGGGGTTGGTCCTTGAGAGGCAAGAATGCAGGCTAGATGACTATATCTCCTACTCATGAAAGTGTCTCCCTGCAGGGGGTGTGGGTATAGCCGCCTTGCAGCTGTGCCGAACAGTGGAGAATGTGACGGTGTTCGGAACGGCCTCAGCCAGCAAGCATGAGATACTGAAGGAGAACGGGGTCACACATCCCATTGACTACCACACGACTGACTACGTGGAAGCGGTCAAGAAGATCTCCCCCAAAGGTGGGCCAGGGTATGGGACGGCATGGCACGGAGGGGAGGTCTCCAAATTGGTGGGTTCTAATGCTGCTCCCGGTCCCCCTTACTCTGTGACAGGCGTGGACATCGTCATGGACCCTCTGGGTGGGGCCGACACTACTAAGGGCTACAACCTCCTGAAACCCATGGGCAAGCTGATCACCTATGGTAAGTCTGTGGGCCAGAATGGGGAGGGATCTAGGGGCCCAGGGCTCTTGAATGAAGAAGGGGCAGGGACCAAGGATCTGGAGAGAAAGTGCTAGAGTTAAGATGGCCCTGAGATGTTGCACTCAGATTGCTGCCTCCCGAGTGCAGCTCTTGTCATTTTCTTTCAACAACCTCCCGTGTGAGTGACAGTAAATTGTGTTCTTTCTGTGCTCCTGTTTGGGGATTATTCTTTTAAAAAATATATTTTTATTGATTTCAGAGAGGGAAGGAGAGGGAGAAAGAGATAGAAACATCAATGATGAGAGAGAACCATTGATTGGCTGCCTCCCGCATACCCCTCACTGGGGATCGAGCCCACAACCTGGGCATGTGCCCTTGACCGGTGTTGAATCAGGGACTTCTCAGACCGCAGGCCTCCGCTTTATCCACTGAGCTAGGGCTGGGGATTATTCTTGATGCACAACCACCCCATCTGCCTTGCTCTGTTCCACTCTCCTGACTTCTGGGACAACTGCATTTCCACTTAAAACACCATTTCACACTCCTGAAACTAATACAAAATAATAATGAATGTAAACTGTCACTGAGAAATAAAATTTAAAAAAGCATGTCACATAAAAAGAAACAAATAGAGATTAGAACCATTTTTGAGTTAGATGGAGTCTTTTGGAGCTTGATAGCCTGCAGGCGGTGGGTTATGCTGTCACTTCCTGGCACTGGTGTGGATAATGCTAAGGGCCCACAGGGCTGGACCTGGCACCCAGATTCACAGGCCGTGCCTCCTTGTCTCTCAGGAATGGCCAACCTGATGACAGGCCCCAAGCGGAACCTGATGGCCCTGGCACGTACATGGTGGAATCAGTTCAGCGTGACGGCTCTGCAGCTGCTGCCAGCCAACCGGGCCGTGTGTGGCTACCACCTGGGCTACCTGGATGATGAGGTGGAGCTGGTCAGTGGTGTGGTGTCCCGCCTGGTGGCTCTGTACAACCAGGGCCACATCAAACCTCACATTGACTCTGTGTGGCCCTTTGAGAAGGTGAGTGTGAGGGCTCTGAAAGGCTGGGGTCCTAGGGGGAGGATTCCTTGGGGGAGGAGGGCCTCCTTCTTTAGGGGGACTCTCTGGAGCACTGGGAGCAGCGCCTCGTCTTCCTTTTCAGGTGGCGGATGCCATGAAGCAGATGCAGGAGAAGAAGAATGTGGGCAAAATCCTCCTGGTGCCTGGGGCAGAGAAGGAGAACTAGGATGGGGGCTGGGAGGCCCTCGGGAAGAGAGAAGCTGGCAGGCCATGTTATGTTGGCCACCAGATCCTCCAGTTTCATCCTCTATCATAATGCTCTACCCTCTCTCCGCCAAAGGTCTCCGTGGTGATGACCTCTCCCCTGCCCTGTGTTTTCTCTTTCGCCAGGGCTACCCCCTCCGTCCTTCCTGCCCTCTGAAGAGGTTGGGAAGTGACCACTTGGATGTCCGGGCCCCGCCAAGGGGACAGGGAGGGGCAGAGGGAGACTGGCTGCTTCCTGCCCCCACCCTCCCCTGGGCCTGCTGTGCTGCTTCTGTGCCAAGACTAGCCAATCCCTTCCCGTTCCGTTCTACGTGCTTCAGCCTCTGCCCCATCTCCCCTCCTGCCCCTGCCCCATTACCTCCCCCAAAGAAATGAAATGTCAGCTCAGGATATGGGGCCAGTCTCTGTGAGTCCAGCATGTCCCTGTTTCGCCCTAGTGTCCCTTCAACCCGGGCCGACCAGCGCCCACCTCTGAACTCCTTTGCCTCATTGTGTGGCCTCATCTTCTTGTCCCGCAACTCCTTAAGCACAACCGGGTTCTTCCACCTCCAGGTTTCCTGCCACTCTTCACCCAGGTGGCCCCTTACCACAAGGGCAGGCATCACACCTGCTCCCCCAGGTCAGACTCTGGGGGAGGGACAGAGGCCCCCTTCCCTCACTGAGTTCTCCGCATTGTTCTCAGTGCCTTAGCAATGCACAACCTGTGCTGGCACATGGAGAGGGGCCCTGTCCCTGCCTCACACCTCCTCCTCCACCCTGTGCTCCCCAGTGCCTACCTTGTTCTGGTGGAGCTGGGGTTCTACTGCTCCCCAGTCCCACAACACCTCCAAACCTCTGAGAGTGCCAGTGTCAGGGGCAGGAGCAGCCCTGGGCCTCCCAGTCCTGTGCCATGTGCTGTCTCTCTCCGGGGCTGGCATTTCTCTCTCAGTGCTTGAGGAGGAAGAGGGGGGAGTTTTCTCAGCCTTGCAGAGAAGGATGGCACTTACCAGCCAGAGCCCTGGGAGTCAGTGCTGTCTGTCTACTTCTTGTTCTGGGACCAAAGTAAACATTAAAGCACATCCCTGTGCAGTCATGGGAGGCCCCCTGCCCCCGCCTTCTCAGAGCAGGGAGGCACCTTTTCAAGCTCATGCCCAAACTTTGTTTACATGGGTGGGGAGATGCAGTGAGGGAGATGGTGGGTGAAGGGGGCAGGGGTTAGGAACTGGGCCCCTGGATCCAAAGTGGGGACTTCCTAGGGTTCAGGTGTAGCTCCCTCAGCTCTGAGCTGGCATTGGGAAGGGTTCCTGCCCAGCCATTGGCACTGGGAGGTGGTGGGGAGGGGTTCAGCCTCTTCATTGTCTAAATGAGGCCTAAAGGGTGTGAAGTTCGACTTCTGCTTTTGTGTACCCACCCCATGACCAACCGAAGCTGCCTTTGTGTTTGTGTCAATAAAAAGCTCAACTCTGGATCCTGGCTGTTGCCTCTGAGAGTGGAGGGGAAGATCAGTGCTGGTGGCGGAAGGCTATGGTTTCTGCCCCCCGCCTCCTTCCTTTCCCAAATCAAGTTTCTTTCATGAAATGAAATGAAATGAGGAAGGAGATCGCTCCAGGCAGGCACTTTTACTGTCTGGGACAGCGTTTCACAACTCAGAGTCCTGACCCGCTTTGTTGACTAGCAGGATCTTGATCATCCGCACGCACCCAACCCCAGCCCGGTTAGAGAATCTTGGCAGAGGGCTGGATGGCGATGAGAAGGCTCCTAGCTGGACTCGGTGGTGAAGACCGCCAGGCATTGCTCTCCTGGGGGCACGGCTGTCAGGGTCTCCACCTCCCCTCCCCCACGGGTGGGCTTCTGGAAGTGCACCTGCAGCACATCCTGCAGCTCGGGGCCATCCAGCACATCGGGAATGTTGAGCACCAGCACTGCCTGCGGCACTGGCTGGAACTTGATCTGGAGAAGGAGTTCCGAGATGAGCAAAGTCCCATGGGAGTCAGGGGCTGGGGCAGAGGGTGGAGGAGGAAGGGCCCAGAAATATGAGAGGGGCAGACAGGTTACCTGGCCAGCGCCCCTTCCCCACCTTCCCACTCACCTCTGCCTTCTGAATCTCTCCACTCATGTAGGGAGAGACTTTCAGAGGGAACTGCCGCCCACCCAGAGGCACGGTGAACTGGCCGATCCGGCACAGGTTCTGGGCCACTGCAGGGACGGGAAGGGTAGGCCTTTAGCATCCAGGGCTTCCTCCTCTGGGGCCTGATGCATCAGCCCTAATCTCCCTGAGAGGCCCTTACCTTCCTCCTCAGCGAAGCCCAGCATGACACCCCCATGCAGCAGTTCCCGAGTCTCCACATCTCCTCCCCCGTTCTTGGTCTTGCCAAAGAAGAGCTCCACCTTGTCCAGCAGCTCCTCCTCACTCAGCTTGAGCTTCGCAGGAAACCCACTGACCAGCACTCTCTGGCTACTCATCTGGCTGGACACCTAGGAGTAGACGAGGAGGAGTGGTTCCAGGCACAGCCCCACTCCCCGGTGTCCAGGTGCATGGCGCCCCCTGCAGGTCCCCGAACTCTGCCACTCTGTCTGTCACCTGGATGGCTGTCACCACGGGTAGCTCCACGGGCTGGACCTGCACCCGCAGCCGACACTCTTCCATCTGGATCTGATGCTCCTTTTGTCGTAGCACCTGCTTGGCCACTGGGTTGGGGGTGAGAGGGGTGGGGTCGGGGGGGGAGGCAGGATCAGTACTGGGAAGCCTCCCAGCCTCCCTCCCAAGGCCTCCCAGACAGCTCACCCTTGGGGTCATCAAAGATGACGAGAGCTGAGCCTCCAGACAGAGGGTAGGAGATCTGCAGGTTGGAGACCAAAGACTTGGGCCCTTCCATGTCCTCCTTAATGTGTCCTCGGAACACCAGGGGGACTTCAGGAACTGGGAATGGGACCTGGAGATGGGGAAGGCGGGGCTGATATAGCCTTCAAGGGTGGGGGAGCTCTCTACTCCCTCCCAGGAGGAAGTGTCCCCAGTTCCATGTGATTGATACTGAGGGCAAGGGATGAATATGTTTAATGGAAGAAGAGCTGGATAAGTAAGCCGACGAAAGCAGGTCAAGCTTGTTCTGGCACTTAAAATTTTTTTTTTTAAATCCTCACCCAAAGATATTATTTCCCATTGACTTTTAGAGAAAGTGGAAGGGGAGGAGAGGAGAGAGAGAGGGAGAAACATCGATGTGAGAGAGACACATTGATTGGTTGCCTTCTCCACGTACCCAACTGGGACCAGGTACTGAACCTGCAACCCAGGTACATGCCCTTGACTGGGAATCAAATCTTCAACCCTTTGGTGCACAGACCGGCCAATGCTTCAACCACTGAGCACACCGGCCATGCCTGTCCTGGCACTTAATATACAGGATTTTAGTTTGTCATCACACAAATGATGAAAAACCAGATCCAGAGGGTTCAAGTAACATACTCTAGGACAATGGTTGGCAAACTCATTTGTCAACAGAGCCAAAATATCAACAATACAGCGATTGAAATTTCTTTTGAGAGCCGAAAACAGACTTCTGCGCCTGGGCCACTAAGTTTCAATCTCACTGTGTGTGCGCTCCCGCACGTGGTATTTTGTGGAAGAGCCACACTCCAGGGGCCAAAGAGCCGCATGTGGCTCTCGAGCCTGGTTTGCAGACCACTGCTTTGGGACTAGGTTACACAGCGAGGAAGTGGCAGAGCCAGGAGTGAAACTAAGAACTCCCAGCTCTTTCTGCCAGGCCACACCCCTCTCCCAGCTTACCTTGTCTTGGGGGGAGTCCCTGAGCCCCCTTTTCAGCTCCTGTAGTTCCTGCAGCCTCATCTTCAGTCTGGCCTGCTCCTCCTGAAGGGTGCGTAATAGGCTCCCCCTCCGGTGGAATGCCTATTGGGACGGACAGAACAGTCAGAGATCCAGCAGCCTTTCCAGGGGAAGGGGATCCTACTCTGGACTCTCGGCTTAAGAACAACCCAACTGCCGAAACCGGTGTGGCTCAGTGGATAGAGTGTTGGCCTGAGAACTGAAAGGTCCCAGGTTTGATTCCGGTCAAGGGCATGTACCTTGGTTGCGGGCACATCCCCAGTAGGGGGTGTGCAGAAGGCAGCTGATCGATGTTTCTCTCTCATCGATGTTTCTAACTCTTTATTCCTCTCTCTTCCTCTCTGTAAAAAAACAATAAAATTTATTTAACAAACAAACAAACAAACAAAAACACAACCAGGCCCTGGGCGGGTCCTGGCCCCTCTACTCAGGACCTGGTGGCCTCAGCCACTCCCTGAAGGGCAGAAGCCTTTGCAGCAGCCATGGCTGGTTTATTATTGAGACCTAGAGTTTAACACACACTGAGTGCGCTTCTGCTGAGGTGCTGGGTGCTGACACAGGGCAGTAGAAGACAAGAGCCAAGCCTCAAGCCTGTACAAATCAGAACCCGAGACTGTAAGCAATCACACGACTGACTGTGGAGGACAGCAGGAGTTTGGAGGAGGCAGAGTCGCAAAAGGGTTAACACAGCGAGGGAGGCCTCCAGGGGAAAAGGGTGGGTAGAGTTGCAAAATGTCCTAATACTATTAGCTAACACTCATTAAGCACAAACATGTCAGGCATTGTTTTATTTTTTTCAAGTTACAAGACAACATTTATTTAGAAAGTTACAGACAGAAGGGAGCCAGCCAGGTTGCGTAAGCTCAGGAAATAAGTTGCAGAGGCAGAAGGGCCTTTGGAGCTTAGGGGGGAGAATGGCAGAGATAACTGCTCCTGGGGGTGAGAAATAGGGGTAGGAAAGGCGTGCGCCAGAGAAGGCGAGCACCTGTTCTGAGCCATTAATATAGATTATATCACTCAGTTCTCCTCTCAGCCCTCTTGTCCTTACTTTACAGATGAGGAAATCCAGAGCTCAAAGAGGTTAAGTGATTTGCCCCAAGAAATTCAGCCCTAGCAGAGTGATTCCACCCTGCTAATTTGTGCTCTGTGGTGAAGAAATCAAGCCCAGAGCTGGAGAGTAATTTACCCCACACCTCCTCAGCGTGTCCCTGGACTGCTAGCTACCTTTCCCATTGTTCCAAGCTGGTGTCATTTGGAGCAGGCCGAGAGAGAGCGAGAGAGAGCGAGAGCGAGAGAGAGCGAGAGCGAGAGCGAGAGAGAGAGAGAGAGAGAGAGAGAGAGACTGACATGGGCAGGGAAATGACACCAGGGATAAGAATCAATGCACCTTTGTTTGTGGGTTGGAGCAGTTGCTAGCTGGCATAGTCCACTGGGTGCTGGGAAGCCTGAAAATAAGGTCTGCCCAGAACTAAGTGTGAGCTCGCGTGGGGAGATGGGACTCCGTCCTGGTCTTCTCTGTATCTCCAGAGCTCAGCAGAGTCTCTGGCACAAACAGGCTTTTGGCAAGTGGGTGTTGAATGAATAAATGGAGTGAATGAATAATATCGGGTCTAGTAATACTTAATGTCGTTTTTTAACATTCGTTTAAAATCTTGCTTGGCGTTGACTTGTATTGACATAACCTTCAAACACGTGGTATCTACAGAACGTGTGAAGTGCAATTAACAAGTTTTGCTTGAAAAAGTTTGTGTTTGGTTTGGTTTTTGTTGCAAAACTAGGGCTAAGAAGATGGCGGATGAAGAGCATATTCGGCACTGCATGCTTTACGAGTTCCAATTAGGAAGAAAAGCAAGTGAGGCTGCAAAAAACATCTGTAGTGCTCTTGGTCAAGATGCAGTTAGCGCCAGAAAATGCCAGCGTTGGTTTGAGAAATTTCGCGAGGGAAATTTTTCATTAGATGACAAGAGTGGTCGAGGCCGTGTGTCCAATTTTGATCAAGAAGCTCTTCAAGCTCTTTTGGTGCAAAATCCTCAAATTACCCAACAAGAGCTTGCGACAACTTTAAATTGTTCACAAAAAACAATTTCCAATCAATTGCGTGCACTTGGCAAAGTCCAAAAGTTTGGAAAATGGGTTCCTCATGAGTTGACCGACAACAACCATAATCAAAGAGTCACAATTTGCAGTTCGCTCCTCTCTCGTCAAAACCGTTTGCCGTTTTTAGAGCAAATTGTTACCGGAGATGAACAATGGGTGCTGTATGTTAATTTGAAAAGGCGGCCTCAATGGTTGGACAAAAATGAGGCTCCGCAGCCCACGCCAAAACCTGACTTGCATGCGAAAAAAGTGATGTTGTGTGTTTGGTGGAATTTTAAAGGAATTCTTCATTATGAACTTTTACCATCTAACCAAACCATTACAAGTGCAGGGTATAGTGCCCAATTGGAAAGGTTAGCCCAAGCTTTAAGAGAAAAAGAACCCGCGCTGATTAATCGGAAGGGCGTAATTCTTCACCACGATAACACACGACCGCATACTGCAAGAATCACTGCTGAAAAACTGCGCCAGTTGGAATGGGAAGTTCTCCCTCAACCTGCATATTCTCCTGATATTGCCCCTTCCGATTACCATTTGTTTCGTTCTTTGCAAAACTTTCTTCTTAGAAAAAAATTTAATAATGAAGAATGCCTCAAAAATGCATTGACCGAATTTTTCGCATCAAAATCACAAGAATTTTACAACAGAGGGATTAAAATGCTTCCTGAGCATTGGGCACAAGTAGTAGAAAACAACGGCAACTATATTGTTGATTAAATTTTGTTGTATTGTTTAAATAAATTCGATTTTAAAAAGTATTAGAAAACGACATTAATTATTACTAGACCTAATAGGACGAAAGCATGTTACAGAGGGTATTGAAGACATCCAGTGAGTTCGCTCTCATTTTAAGCAGAGAAAAACTAGGGCTTGAATAATGCTGGTTTATGAGTAGTGAGAAAGGTAGCTCATTTTTTTTTTTCTTTCCTCCATTCTTTATATTTCTGTAAACAAGGGGTCACACACTCAGTGCCTATAAGGGCCAGTGAGATGACATCAGTGAGCCAAGGGAGCCAGTAGAGTGAGATAAGGAGACGTGGAGAGCCTGACACACGGGAGAGAGTGTGTATCCCCGCTAAAGTAGCAACCTCTTCTTGGCTCTAACCCAGTTTTTTCACATGGGAGTGTGTTGTGGCCCTGTATCCCCTCTCTCTCCCATTTTAACCTGTTAACCGGGGAGTTCCCTTTTTAATTACGCAACGTATAACGGGCACATACTCTTTCACTAGGACGTGTCAGTACGTCACGCTCGGTGGACATAATTTCATATTATTATTTTTTAAATTTATACTTAATTAAAATAAATGAAATATATATATTTTTTGTTTATTTATATATAAAGCACAAAGGAAAATACAAAATTACAAACAAATAGAAAAGAATACCAACAAAAAAAATGGAAACATCGAATTAAAAAATTATAAATTTTACAATTATAAAGATTACAAAAAATATATACTGTCCATTTCAGAGCCCAACATATATTTCAAAGACGTATTCATATGTCATCCTTGTTCCAGATATTGTTTATGTTTGACGTATTTATAAGTCCCTCTTGGTTAACAGGTTAAAGGAAAATCAGAAACCTGAATTTTTATTTGGAAAAGATGGCTCAATGTAAAAATACATGAAAACTAAAATACATTGGTGGGCTGTTTTTTAATTAAAAAACAGTCCATTCTCTTTTTACTTCTGCTTTAAATCTTGATCTATTGTAATTATACATAATTGAAAATCTAGGGTCTGGCAATGCTAATTTTTAATAAATAGCTTAATAAAAATAAATAAGAGCTTCACAAATAGACTATTTTATTTTATTATTTTTTATTTTTTTAATATATCTTATTGATTTTTCAGAGAGGAAGGGAGAGAGATAGAGAGCCAGAAACGTCAATGAGAGAGAAACATCGACCAGCTGCCTCCTGCACACCCCCCACCGGGGATGCGCCCGCAACCAAAGTACATGCCCTTGACCGGAATCGAACCCGGGACCTTTCAGTTCCCAGACTGACCCTCTACCACTGAGCCAAACCAGTTTCAGCACAAATAGACTATTTTAAAGAAAATTTCAAGCTGGGGAGGTTAGATGTGCCGTCAGCAAGGAAATGGGGAACTAGTGAAGATTTCTGAAAGACGGGGAAGGGAATGGACATGGTGTTTAAAAGGAATCCTGGGAGTGACGGCAGGATGAACTGGGGCAGGAAGCGTGGAGTGAGGGAAACAAGCCCACACTCTGTGGCTCTAGCTCCCACCAACGTGAAGGAGCTGAGCCCGACCTCTGGCAGGGGCAGCCAGGGAGCACATGTGGGCGAGTACATTTCACGAAGACAACCTCCCGGATACAGTGGATGTTTGTATTAAACAGACAGAGGGCAGTGAAGACGATGCCAGAATGCAGACCTGGTGCCCCAGTTCGGTATAATGCCACTGGCCCAGAGGGCAAGGAAGGAGATCCAGGCCTGCTATAGTAAATGCCAGGCTCAGCTGGACTCTATCTCTTTTAAATACTACAAAATTCTCTCCTGTCTCCAACTCCCCACTGAAACTTGTCTCTTACAGGACTCTCTTAAGGCCAACTGTAATCACTTAACCTGAATTTAGCTATACTGGCTATTTACTTATACAATGTGATAACATGGTCTCTAACTGCAAGCCATGTCCTGGCTGGTGGGGCTCAGTTGATTATTGTCCTATGCAGTTTGATTCCTGGTCAGGGCACATGCATAAGTTTGAGGTTGATCCCTGGTAGGGAGCATGCAGGAGGCAGCTGATCAATGTTTCTCTCTCTCTCCCTCTCCCTTCCTCTCTATCTAAAATCAATAAAAACAGCCCGGCTGGCAGGACTCAGTGGTTGAATGTTGAGGAGGTCATGGTTCGATGCCTGATTGGGGCATATACCTGGGTTGTGCACTCAATCCCCAGCATGGAGCATGCAGGAGGCAGCTGATTGATGATTTTCTCTCTCTCTCTCTCCCTTCCCCTCTGAAATAAATAAAAATAAAATGAAATAAAAATATTTAAATAAATGCAAGCCATCTGGCGCTTCACTGAAAAAACTTGCTACCCAATCTACATTGAGCTCATTGAGCGACGATAAATTCTGGATACTTTTTGGGTAAGTTCATGATTTAAAGTTAATTTTGACGACATATATTCTTTTGGCTTACTTGCTGAGTTTAGAATCCCATAAGACAAAACCTCACGATAAAACCTCATGCTATCTATGTTCATCACGGAGTATCAGGAGGCAGTTTAGCATACGGTTAAAAGCACAAACTCTGGGGCCACCTCTGGAGTTTACATCAGCCCATCTTACTACTGCAAGTTAATAGTACAATAGTTTCTACCTGTATTTAAGTTTTTAAAAATCCTTTCTCAAAGATATGTTTTTATTGATTTTATAGAGAGAAGAAGGGAGGGACGGAGAGAGAGAGGGAGAGAGAGAAACATTGATGTGAGATAGGCACATTGATTGGTTACCTCCTGCTCTTGCCCAACAGAGGATTAAACCTGCAACCTAGGTATGTGCCCTGCCTGGGAACCAATTCCACAACTTTTTGGTTTATGGGGCGATGCTCCAACCAACTGAGGTGCCCAGCCAGACACCTGTATTTAATTGTTTGAAAGTGGTACATGGCACAAAAGTGCTGTTATATGTTTTCTATTTTAATTAAAAAACAAAACACCTTTTTTAGATGAGGAACCTGAGGTTCATCAAGTTTAACTAATGGGCCAAAGTTAATCAAACCCAAGGCTGTTGAAGACACACAAGGTCAGGGACAGGACTTGGTGGACAAGACCCTGGGTTAGAACATGTGGTGATGGTTGGAGCCAAGAGCATGGAAGAGCTCTCTAAGGAAAAGAACCTTAAAAAAATCTTTGAGGACACCTGGTCAGGGGTCAGGAGAGAATGCAGGGAAGAAATAGAACGCATGGTCAGAGATAAGCAGGGCCAGGCCAGGATTGGGAAGTGTCAGACACAAAGGAGGAGGGATAAAACTGGCTACCAGAAGGCCATTCATTCACTGCTCACCAGTACTCACTCACTCACTCACCAATCAGCATCTACCATCTGCCAGGCCCTGTTCTAGGCTCTGGGGACACAGAATTGGACACAACAGACAAAACTTCCTTGTGGAGTTTACGTAAAATGTGCATTATGCTAGTGACTAAGTGTTATGGATAAAAACAAGGCAGAGAACGTTGGAGGATAATTTTAAATGGGATAATACGAATAGGCCTCACTGAGATATCTGAGCATGAAATTGAAGGAGATGAAGGAGCAAGCCGTACATGTGGGGGGAAGTTCTATGCAAAGGGAAAGCACGTGCAAAGGCCCTGCGGTGGGAGTTGGTCAGGTGTATTTGGAGGGTAGCAAGGAGACCTGTGTGGGAAACACACGGGGAAGCAGAGGGAGTGAGGGGAGTGGTTGGAAATAAAGTCATAGAGGGGTTTGGATCATGCAGGCCTTTTACCTGATGCGAGGTGGGAAGCCATAGGCAGGCTTAAAGGTTAACAGGATTCCCTGGCTGTTGCATGAGTAGGTTGATGTGGAGAATTAGCATAAGCAGGGAGGCCATTACAGCATCCAGGTGAGTGATGCTAGTGACTTTGACCAGGTGGTAGCAGTGGAGGTGGTGACGAGTAGTCAAAAGAAATAATACACTGTAGCTGCCGATGGATCAGAAATAGGGTGTGAAGAAAGAGAGGAGTCTGGAATGACTTCAAAGCTTTTATTTTTAATGTGTGTTTTTTAAATTGATTTCAGAGAGAGGCAAGGAGAGATAGAAACATCAATGATGAGAATCATTGATCAGCTGCCTCCAGCACGCCCCCTTCTGGGGGTCAAGCCCTTAACCCAGGAATGTGCCCTTGGCTAGAATCGAACCTGGGACCCTTCAGTCCATAGGCCGACGCTCTATCCACTGAGCCAAACCAGCTAGGACTTTTCTGATCTTTTTTTTAAAAAATTGTATTTATTGATTTCTGAGAGAGAGAGATTGAAACACAGATTTGGTTCACTTATTTACACATTTGTTGGTTGATTCTTGTATGTGCCTTACTTGGGGCCCAGTCCTCACATGAGTAGAGGTCAGGAAATGGTGGACAGCAGGCAGCAAGGAGCTCAGTTCTCAGAGGAGGTACATTTCTTCAAACTCACAATCTTAGTGTCAGGACGGATGCTCAACCAACGAAGCTACCCAGCCAGCACCTTAAATGTTTAGAATTGTCATGAGAGCAATTCTTAAGACTTTAGATCACGGAACCTTTTGGGTATCTAATGAAAACTACAGATTCTCTCCAGAAAAATGCATTCACACAAGGAACTCATCAGCTCCTGAGGTACAGATTGTACTGATTTGTCTCTGAGGCAATGGGTTAGGGAGCTAACTCCACAGGGGAGAGGAATCCCAGCCTCGTTTCTCAGCCGAGACCTCCCGCTTTCCTGAGAGACTGAAAGGGAGAGGCTAGGATTCCCGGCCAGGCCAAGAGGAAGGCTCCTCTGCTCCGCCCCCGCCCAACACCCTCCTCCTCACTTACGGGACCAGGAGTCACTGACATGGTCTGGGATCTGGTTGGCAAGAGCTGAGTCTTCGGAGCTGGAAACGATGTGGCAGAATCCACCCAACAGAGCCCTTGCTTCCACCTTCTCAGGAGACTTCTCTCCTGTAGCAGAGCCTGAACCGCACCTCAAACAGTTCTGCCCGCGGGCTCTTTGCTTCCACTTTCATTTCTGGGAAGTCCCTGCCCATTTAGTGCTCACATGGCCAACTGCTTTTCCCCACCCCTCGGAGGAGACTTCCTGGTCTCTAAATCGACTTCACTCAGCTACGAGGCCTTAGGGGAAACTGCCTAACTAAATGCAAACTAGATCCTGGCCCCAACCAACCATTCCCAACCTGTCAATCCCAGCAGAAGCCCACGGGTAGAAATTTGTCTGCCTGGTTAGTAGATATTTCCCTAGAGTCCAGAATAATGCCAGGTACATGCATTGATCGATAAAACTGAATGTCAAATGCAACCAGGACGAAGCCACTCCAAGTTCACCAAGCTGTTTCAATAGCATTTATTGAGAGCTGCTGTGCCCAATATTGGTTCTGTTTTGCATGAATTAAACTCTTCAAAACAACCCCTTAGTTCTTTCCATATTTTACCAATGAGATTCTAAACTTCTGAACTACATAAATTTGTCCACTGTCTATAATTATAGCAAGTGAAACATGCATCTAAACTTGGACAGTATTTGAACTTGGGCTTTGAGGCACGAGAACTTGAATTTCTAGTCAAAGCAGGGTTTAAAGTCTTGGGACTCTTGAGTACAAGCTAACGAGTGTTTCAACAGATGCCCAATAAAGGTCAGAGGAGCCAAATTAAAGTACATAAAACAGTCTTTCCCATTGTTTTCTAGTCCAGGGTTTTTACACCGGTAACTCACTGAGCCCTTCTCGTAGCTCCCACCCCAGATGGAAGTGCGCCTCCGGCCTGGCCAATAGGTCTCTGGATCCTTCTTTGTGACTGAGAACCAGTTCAGCTGGAGAGCCTCTCATTCGTAAAAACATGGTCACAAGTATCCCAAGCCCTGAGAATCACACCCTTTCTTTAAAAAATAGATTTTAGAGGGAAACAATGAGAATCAGGATTGGCTGCATCCTGTACATCCCCTATTGGGGATTGACGGATTCATAGGTTGCCGCCCAATCACAGGCCAGTCTCTGCTAGCCAGGCTGTTAGACCTCTTCCCCGTCCTACTAGAAATGGCTGCTCTTGGCCTGGCCCCACCGAGGGGCCCTCATTGGAAGCACACCAGCATCGCCCGACAACTTGCTAGGAATTCTTAAATAAATCTGACTCATCGGGGGACTTGGGTTTGACCAACCACCAGTGCTAACCACGGTTTGAGAACCTCAGGTCAGTTCTCAATACAAAACAGTGAGTGCACATCCACTCAGGAGCTCTTGGCTGTCCTAGTCGGTGGTGGGTGGACAGGTTCTCTAAGGCTGTAAAGAGCTGGTCAGGGATGCCAAGAACTCTAAAACTCTGCACCTAAAAATGTCAACTGTAGCCCTTCTGGGAAGCAGCTCATTAAAGGATTACCAAGCGGAGAACTAGCTGAAGTCGCAGAGGCAGACTTAACTTCTGTATTTTTTTCTGTAGCCCCTCATCCCCCAGCCTTTTATCTTATCAGTATCCTTTCCCAGACCCAGATAAACAATTAATACATGCAACAGGCAGACACAGGGATATTTTTATGGATTTTTAATGACAGAAACAAAAAATATCTAAAACCGCAGCTTCTGGAAGAACCACTTGTTCTTGCCGGTCTTGTACCTGGTGGGAAAACAAGGACACCGATGAAGAGGGAGACACACTTCCCTTTACGGGACTGAGCAACACCACACCCACCACCCAAGCCCAACTCACCTCTCTTCAAACTTGACTTTGGCCTCCCGCCGGGCCTTGCGTTTCAGAGCAGGGTCTCTGAAAACGTCCTTGTTGACAACGGTCTTGTCCAGGGGGATGTCCACGGAGTACCTGGGGACAGCGGCGGGGAGTTGGACGGAGTCACCCCAGCCCTCCGAGGACAGTAGGTACCAGGCTCTGCCTCCACAGGGAAAACCACCAAAAGCTGTCCCAGAGCGCTGACGAGAGGCTTTGGAAATCTCTAACTCATTTACATAAATTTAAGCCACTGGAAAACTTCACATTTCACCGTCTATTTTCCCAACTTCTTATGTCCTAGCTATGAACCATCACTGTATTAGAATTAAAAAATATATATATTTTATTGATTTACAGAGAGGGAGAGTCAGAAACATTGATGAGAAATATCAATCAGCTGCCTCCTGCATATCCCCCATTGGGGATGTGCCCGCAACCAAGTACATGCCCTCAACCAGAATCGAACCCGGGATCCTTGAGTCTGAAGGCCAATGCTCTATCCACTGAGCCACACCGGTCAGGGCTGTATTAGAACTTTACTTTGGTTCCTAGTGGGTGGCTAGCTTTCTATTTAGAGCCATTGTATTTAGTACTGTTCAAGTTCTGCCTATGCAGGGCGCCACCGTGATGACAATGCAAGAGCTGGGAAATCTCACAGCTTTCCCGCACACAGCAAAGGGCTCTGCTCTCTTAGGCCAGCACATTAAGGGTGAACAAGTCCCAAGTAACGAACTTTAAGGCACATGCTGCTGGGTTTGGCAACTCTTGTTCAGGTCTCTTTCAAACCTTGAGTTCCTTTATAACCCTCGTACCAGGATAGGAGATGCGCTGAACAATACTGCGAAAGGCAGGAGACAAAGGGCCTGGCAGTCCAGTGAGACTTTCATCGCCTATAATAACTGTGTGTGAAATTGGAACAGCGGAGGAGGTGGGCAGGCCAGACCCCATGCCTGTGTTTACTGTGAATGGAAACAAATCTTTACTCGACATTTTAGAATTTTCATGTAAGAAAGACAAAGAGCCAGCTTGGAGACTTTAAATTAGGCTTGGTAAACCGAGGGAAACCACCAAAGGATATGACATGGAAATGGTCCCAAGATGTATGAAAGGGGCAAACCACAGCCACTTTGTGGCAAATTGAAAATATCGTCTTCCGCAAATGGCTGCAAGGTTGCCTCCTTATTCAGCAAGGCATAAAGGGTGAAAAGAAACGTAAAAAGTCACTTTTATTCCCATTCTTGAAATGCTCACCTTGTGGGCATGAGGTGATTGTAGTTATAAACTTTCACGAAGGACTTGATCTTTGACCTCTTGGCAATTTTCTTCTTGCCCATGGCAGCTGTCACTTTTCGGGGGTAGCGGTCAATTCCAGCCACCAGAGCATGGCTGTAGGGGCGGTCCGAGGTGCCATCGTCAATGTTCTAAATGAGCAAGGTTTACATTTGGTGTCAACTTAAAGCCCACCTAGGCCCCGTGGCAGAGGCAGGCATCTACAGAAAGATCATCTCCATCCCACCGTCTTACAGAGAAAAGCCACAAAAAGCAGACACACTAAGTGCTATGCCAAATGCTCATAGTAGTAAGGGTTAGGGGGCATTCATGCCCACCAGGAAGAAGTTGGGCTCCTGGGAAGTTAAGAGGTTTTAAAATGAGAACAGTTATCATTTATGAATGAAGTCTTTGTGACCTGCCAAGCACTGGTTCTTAGGAGTAGAGGCAGGCAGCCTAACTCCAGCCTCAAGAAGGTGGGGGGAGGGGAACCAGGAGTTCCAGTGTCCCCCCGAACAGCTCAAGGCAGTGCTATATGAGGTCAGACTTAGGGACATTTCAAGAAGCTAAAAGATGTGGGCACAAGGCGAACAGTGAAAGGCTGCAATACGCTAAACGACCGTTTTTGCTAGAAACAATTCCTCCTTTTACAGAATCCCAGTTGCAGCACTTACTAGCTGCTTGACCTCAGGTCAATTACCGACCATCTCTAAGCCTTAGCAGTAGGAATAATAATCCTCTACGGTTACTGCAAGGATTGGGCACGAAAACATCTGTAAGGCAGTGTATCAGTCAGCAAACAAGGGTTCAATAAGCGCTGGCCATTGTTGTTATTATTATTATTATTATTATTATTATCTAAAGCCTCTTTGGTAGAGGGCGCGTTCTGTGCTAGGTGCCCAGTCAACTTGTTTTTTCATTTTCCTCTTCCAAAAGCCCTCATGCATTCACCCACAGCCCTACACGCAATGCTCAATGGCTCATGCCCCAAACTAGTTCGTGAATTCCAAGCTTGAGCTCCTCCGAAACCGGCCCCATACGGGGAAACACGGGCGTACAGGCTCGCGAGGATGGTACCTTTACGATGACGGCTTTGCGTCCGGAGTAGCGTCCGGCCAGGACCAGCACCACCTTCCCGGGTTTCATAAACTTGCCCATTTCTGCGGAGAGGAACAAGGGACCCGTCAGAAATTCGCAAGCCCAGGCTGCGGGCTCTCGGAACTTCAGGCTGCGTTTACTATCGTCCTGGCCCAGGCCGCCCACGGGCCCTGATCACGGGACAGAATCCGCTACGAAGCCGCCAGAGACAGAGGAATGGAAGGTGCTCGCAGCCACCCCACAACTCGACCCCCAGGCCGCGGATGGCGGTGGATTGGAAGAACCTGCCCAAGGCTCTACTCACCGAACGCAGCCACTCGGGCCCAGAGCAGAAAAGAAAGAACAGCACTTCCGCTAACCTTTCACCCCGGAGGTGGGTGATATCACTTCCGGTACCGCCCCTTCCGTCTCGTCCCGCCTCCTGCGAGGCCCTGGCGGAAGAAGCTTCTGTGGGGAAAGCAGGGCCTGGCTGCTTATTTATTCAAATCAAACTTTATTAGTATATCCCGCAGAAGAAAAGAGCCAGGGAGTGCCGTCTATCGCCTACCCATGGAAGAGCAAGGAAGGCTTGTATGCTCCAGCCTGTCGTAGTTCCTTTCTCTGACGCTAGGAGGGGACACAGTTTGAAATTTACTTTTTTTTGCCTTGGAATAGTCAGGGAGCAAAATAAAACTTTTATTTTTTATTTTTTTAATGTCCACTGTGTGAACTGCTATTGATCGTAAGGAAGGGGAGACGAACATGAATCAAACAAGGATACTTGCCCCCGACATTGAGAGTGTCGTGATGTCACAGACATTGCAAACTAGGCAGTGAAGGAAGTGAAAGACAATGATGGTGATAGCAGCTGTTTACTTTTTGCTAAATCGAATTAATCTATTTACGTATATTACCTCAGTTGAGGCTCATACCAATACTAGGAGATAAGTATTATTATTTCCCTTCTGCAGTTGAAGAAACTGTATCTTAGAGAAATTAATTTGCCCCAAGTCCACAGCTAGTAAGTGGTGGAGCTGGGACGCAGACTCTAGCAGTCCCGAGCCTGTACTGTTTACCCTGTCACTATACGGAGCACCAACTCTGTGCTAGGCAGTTTAGGTAAGTCCACAGCCTTTTTAATTCTCAATTCTGCATCTTGGCTATTTTCTTCCCATGTAGACATGAGGAAACAGATTCAGAGAGGATGTTACCTGAGATGGGATTCAAATTTAGGTTTGAATTCAAGTCTAGTTGGCTCTCAAACGGAATTATTTTCTTCACTTATTGAAGTTTTAAAAAATACATATATATTTTTCTTGATTTTAGAGAGGAAGGGAGAGGAGGAATCATTCATAGGCTGCCTCCTGCATGCCCTCTCCGGGGGATCAAGCCTGCAACCCTGGCATGCGCCCTGACTGGTTATCGATCAGTGTGTGATTTGGTTCATAGGTTGATGCTCAATCACTGAGCCACACCCAGCAATGCTGGAGAAATGTTTTTAGATGGTTCTTTGGGTGTCTTCCAAGTCCAAAAGAAAGAGAAACCGTCTTACAGTTTTTGCTTATCGGAACACTGAAAAATTTATAGGATTGGTCTTGGGCAAGATGTTGGGCAAATCAGGGTTTCATCAATTTTTGAGGTTTTCCAGGGACCAATTTTTTCCCGCAGGTCTTAGGACCCCATTCTAATGGTTTATTCCCCTAACTATGTACTTATATTTCTATATTCAACCAGAATGTTTCCTGCTTTAACTTGGAATATGGCATTTTAGTGTTGGGACCTCAGAGATCTACTCTGGCCTCTAAAAAATGACAGTTCTGCCGAAACCGGTTTGGCTCAGTGGATAGAGCATTGGCCTGCAGACTGAAAGGTCCCAGGTTCGATTCCGGTCAAGGGCATGTATGTTGGTTGCGGGCACATCTCCAGTAGTGGGTGTGCAAGAGGCAGCTGATCAATGATTCTCTCTTATCGATGTTTCTAACTCTCTATCACACTCTCTCTCTGTATAAAAAAATCAATAAAAATATATTTTAAAAAAATGACAGTTCTTACAGCAGCAAAGTTCACAGAGCAAGGTCTCCTCATTTCCAATCCAGTGTTCTTCCCACTATAATACATTACCCTATCCATTTTTACTTCCATGGTCTTCTCCCAACCTCATCTGCTTCTGCCTCTTTTGCTGTTGCTCCCTTGGAAAATAGAAACCTAACCCTAAGATTTTATAATTGCCTGGACTCTTTTCACAAACACTCTCCCAATTAAATTACTAACTAGCCGAGACCGGTTTGGCTCAATGGATAGAGCGTCGGCTTGGGGACTGAAGGGACCCGGGTTCGATTCCGGTCAAGGGCATGTACCTTGGTTGCGGGCACATCTCCAGTAGGGGGTGTGCAAGAGGCAGCTGATCGATGACTCTCTCTCATCGATGTTTCTAGCTCTCTATCTCTCTCCCTTCCTCTCTATACAAAATCAATAAAATATATAAAAAATAAAAATAAAAATAAATTACTAACTAAACCCTGTGAATTTTGCCTTATGTCTTTTAAGTCTTTTTTTCTATCCTTTTCCACCTGCTCCCTAAATGATCCAGCCCCAGTTCTTTTTCTTCTCCAGTCCCTCTTCAAAATTTTGTATGGGTCAGAATTGGTTGGGGTGCTATTAAAGATACATCTCCAACTCAAAATTCAGGTCTGGAGTGGAGCCCTATGATGTATAGATCTTGAGAAATTTCTCTAAATACAACTCTCAAGTCTACCACTTGTCTGCTTGATATACTTTGTTGGCTCTTTGTATCTAAGTTTGAACTCTCACTCCTTCCCTTCAACATAATTTCCTGACTCCTCCATATACTTCCTGTACCACTGGCGTTCCATCCAGCTCAACTACTCAAAGTCCAACCTCTTATGATCCCTGGTACCTTGGTTTCGGGCACATCCCCAGTAGGGGGTGTGCAAGAGGCAGGTGATCGATGATTCTCTCTCATCGAGTTTCTCTCTATCCCTCTCTCTCTGTAAAAAAATCAATAAAATATATATATATATATATAAAATATTTCCTCAGCATCTAGCCTAGTCCAGGCAGTTGGTAGGCACTCAATAATGAATAGAGAACCTTAGAAATCTTTGCAACAAACCTTGTACTTTCATTGGATACATACCCATGGCCATTTCATTCTATACTTAAAAAAAAAACACATAAAAAAACATATATATATATATATATATATATATATATATATATATATATATATAATTTCATTGATTTTTTACAGAGAAGAGAGAGGGATAGGGAGTTAGAAACATCGATGAGAGAGAAACATCGATCAGCTGCCTCTTGCACACCCCCACTGGGGATGTGCCTCCAACCAAGGTACATGCCCTTGACCGGAATTGAACCCGGGACCTTTCAGTCTGCAGGCCGATGCTCTATCCACTGAGCCAAACCGGTTTCGGCTGATTCTATACTTTAGACCTGGGCTGACTGTTCCTCCTCTCCTCCCACATCCTGACTGCCTCACCCTAAACCAGGGGCAGAACTGTCCTCAGATATAATGCAGATAACAGTGACTAGATCATCTGACTGCTGGATTGTTGATGGGATTATCTCTCTCTACACATCTTGGTTTTATGAACTCAGCAGAGCAATGGCTATCTGTCAATCTCCCTGCAGCCTGTCCTTTGGCAGCTGAAATTTCTGGCAGGTATATGGGAAATACCTTCTCTTCCCTGAAGTGATGGTAGAGGGGGCTGGAAAAAGACAAGAAGAACAGAAGATCTAGAAGCCACAAGATACAATGAGGTAACATGATAAGAGTACAGACTATAGGATATGGATTCAGGCAACTCAAGTTCAAATCCCATGAACCAAGAGGTCTCTGGATGGATTCCCAGTCAGGGCACATGACCAAGTTACAGGCTAGAACCCCAGTAGGGGCATGCAAGAGGCGGCCGATTAATGATTCTTTCCCATCATTGATGTTTCTCTTTAAAATTTAAAAAATTAGGATTAACACAAACAAAAATATTTCCCACAAAGCCTTAATACAAAGTAGTTTTTGAGGATTAGAGAAAGATAATACTGGTGTGATACAGAGCTATGCCATATGACTACAGCAGTTATTACCCACCCTAAATAATATCCAAGTAGGTTTAAAAGTGCCAATTCCAAAAGTGGCAGGTGTGGTGACATCTGCTGTGGGGATGTGACTGCTGGCCTGGTGAGATGGGATGATAAAGCCAAGGGCACTTTTTAGCGAATTTATTTACGGAGATGAAAACTACCATCAAACTGTGTTGATCCAGGGCAGAGGTTAGAGAAGAGGGAGAAAGGCCAGGACCAGACACAGCTTGAGGAAATGGCCTGGATCAGATAATGCCCAGATGGACTTATAAATCAATGCCAAGGGCTCTGAGGTCCTTACAGAGAATCTACACAAAATACTATTTTTTATTAGCAACCACAGATATATCATTTTCCACAACATTATACATTTATTCTGCTTTACACAGGAAAACTAATTCTAATGAATTTTCAACAATACATCTTAAATAATATATTGCTGGAAAAATTAAGTTAAAATGCACTATGTAATAGTGCAGACATAAAGTGCAGCTGCCAATTTAATACATGAAACAATGCTGAATCAGTAGTGTTGGGAACTCATTTGGTTTTCTAGAAAGTGATACAATTTGCCCATCTGTGGTCAGTCCTGGAGTAGTATGCAGGCTGAATGACATAGAACTAAAAAGGCTAAAATACTGAGGACCAAACTGGGCGGCTCTAGAGTCAATTTTATAATGAAGTGTTCAACAGCAATCTATCTTTACTGAACAAGGTGCTGGGGTAGGGCCAGCGCACTATCATCAAAAGGCATCCTTGATGTTCTTGAGCTGGCGCACGGCCAGGTCGACAGGGAGGCTGAACTTGAGGCTGCTGAGGCGACTGAGCAGGTTGAGGGCACTCTCAAAGCCTGTGTGTGCCATGTAGCTCCAGGGCTGGTAGTGGCGCTCGATGAGTGATGCCGACTTGCAGATAAGGTTCACCCAGGACACGAGACGCTGCTCGTTCAGTGCCATGCACACCAAGGCCTTCAATTCTGAGTCCGCACTGCGCTTAAAAGGGTCATGCTCTGTCAGCACCATATGGATGGCCGTCAGCAGACTCTGTTTGGGAGTCATAGCAGTGCCTCCCATCACTGGCAGGGCAAAGGACTGGGAGAGCTTCCGGGCTGGGGAGTCCACGTAAGCGCGGCCATTCTTCGCATGGTAGTACTTTACAAAGAGCTCCCAGGGATGCATGGCCTCGGGGGCCGAGGAGAAGGCTGGCAGCAAACAGGCAATGGGGGCCATGACGAGGCTCATCCCCGGTGACGGGGCATACAGTCCATGGGCCAGCAGGTCCCTCATGGCCACGGTCAGCTCCTTCCGCACAGCTGTGGTCAGCTCGTCCTTGCCCCCCAGAGAGAGGTCCTGGAGGTTGGCAGAGGTGATGACGTGGCCGTAAGGCTGTTGCCTTAGGGCTAGCTGCTTCACTCTGTCTACTGACACCTCCAGCCTCTTCAGTAAGGGAGAGTAGTCCCTGTCAGCCTGGCCCGTTGGCCACAGGGTTTGTGGGATGTGGCCTGTGGCACAACCAAACTGGCTAACAGCAAAGATCTGGAGCACTGCCAGTGCTCGCCGCATCAGGTGCAGCCCCGTCTCCCGCACTTTCTTCACGTCTTCCGCCTTCGCTGTTTGGAAAACCCAACACTCATCAGTTAGGGCCACAATAGCACAGAAGTACATTCAGTAAGTCACAAGTTGAGATCAAGTATTGCTTTGCTTTTGAGCTACATACAGGTCCCACATGAAGCCAAGAGCCACCAAGGATGTCACTGGACTTCCTTTTTTTGAGTTAATAACAGCTATATTGAAATATAATTCACATATCATGCAATTCACCTATTTAAAGTGTACACTTCAGTGTCTTTTTTAGTATACTCAGAGAGTTGTATATCCATCATCCCCAAAATAAACCCTGTACCATTAGCATTTCCCATTACCCTTCTTCCCAACCTCATAAGCCCTCAGCAACTACTGATCTATTTTCTGTCTCTATAGATTTGCCTAATCTGGGAGCTGTACTTACGTTTGCTGTTTCTTGGAGGCAGTCTGCTGCTGCCAGTTCTGGTGGAGCCATTCCCTGTCTTCCCACCGGCCTTGCACTCACAGTGTCCATTATCCGTCTGCAGTGGGTTTCCCACTTCATCTACAATCAGAAGTTATGGAGAGAAGATACTTTTTTAGCCCCTGATGGCAGATTTTCATAGGAAGAAAATTTACTAGTGCCTACTACATGACAAGACTTACAAATATATCTTACTTAATTGCATAAAACAGTGACTCGTATATAGTAGTTGGCTCAAAAAATATTTGCTGAGTGAAGAAAGAATGAATCATGTTATGGGTGAGGAGAGTGGGACTAGAGAGGTTAGGAACCTGCTCAAGGACATGAAGCCAGTGAATGGCAGAGTGAGATTTTAGCTATCTGCTTACTCACCATGCTAGCTCCCTTACTAAGGGATCAAACCCCTTAAAGAGTACATCAAGACTAGCACCTTTATAAAATAAAAAAAAATTAACAACAACAACAAAAAAAGACTGGCACCTTTAGGTATTAGTATTTATATATAATTATCACAACATCTGTCCTTGCCACTCTGACCTTGGATGAAGTCGATAAACATCTCGAGATCTCGGATCTGAGTTTTCAGCTGCTCAACCAACTGTTCTTTCACTCGGGCTGGATTTACAATCTGAGCCACAGCTGCATCAACACGTTGCCGAAGCTCTTCAGTAGACAGTGAACTGATGTCCTCATTCAGGTTCATGTCCAGTTTCTTTATTAATTCATCTATGATCACCTATCAAGACCACAAGCAATGAACACACCCTTTGGAGTTTTCAGGGAGAAGGTTAGGAAGAAAGATAATTTTTACTGGTATACCTCCTACCCTTAAATAGAAATCAAAGGCACAAAGAACGGTCAAATTCGTGAGAGAAATGGTGTAATTGCTTATTAGGTAAGAATAGACTTTTACTTCTCTGGGAGTAACAAGAACCTTTGGTTCCTGTCTGACAGAAATGGCTCTTCTAATTACAAATGTTCTACTGGGCCAGGCAACTTTCACTTAGGTGACTAACAGTATGAATAATCCAAAGTGGCTGATGATCCAAAAATCCTCATTCTTAGCTTCCCCCAATGTCTCCAAGAGAATACTGGTTTCTCTCAGTTTCTAGTCCTTCTCAACCCTTCTTGTTCTACTCTAAGTTACTAAAGAAAAATCTTTACAAAACATTAAGTTATATTACAGCCAAAATATCCTACTGACAACATAGGAACAATCAAATCTTGGTAATGCAACTCCAACCCAGGCAGAGAAATAGGCACATCAAAAGGACAGACAAACATGTAGGGGACGCTGTAGCTGTATTTCTACTAGCTGATTTACCTGCCTACCCAGAAGTTGTTTAAATAAATACAGCATTAAAGTCAGTTTGGATTCCTGGTATATTATCAACTAATTATGGGGGGGAAAGCTAGTTTACATAGTATGATCTGCTCAAATAGAACTATTTTAATGACCAAATGAAAGAGTTACTGTTATTACTACTACTATCTATACTAATAAAAGCCTAGGTGGCTCTCACATCCTTGTGCAACACCCTCACGTCATCACAAGATGGCCGCCACAAGATGGCCAGCAGGGCAGGGCAGTTGGGGGTGATCAGGCCAGCAGGGGAGCAGTTAGGCGTCAATCAGATTGGCAGGGGAGTGGTTAGGAGCTAGCAGTCCTGGATTGTGAGAGGGATGTCCAGCAGTCGGACATCCCCTGAGGGGTTCCAGACTGGAGAGGGTGCAGGCTGGGCTGAGGGACACTCCCACTATCCTGTACACGAATTTCATACACAGAGCCTCTAGTTATTAATAATAATCAACAACAACAACAAAAAAAAGGTAGAGTTCAATCATCATATTATAAAGCTTTGGAACTCGTGTTTCCTTGTGTGAATAAGGACTGTAATAGTAAAATAGTAAAATTTCCCTTTGATTTGGGCTAGCAAAGGGATTCTCAGTAAGGCCCAGGACAAACAAGCTGGGAGAGAATAAATGTTGGAAAGAATCAACACTGGAAGGAACAGTGTTTAGGTAGTGGTGGCATCTACTTACCCGCTGTCTTTCCAAGACCACAGACTGTGGTAAGGAATCATAATTGCCCTCTTGATAGGCAAACGTTTCCAGATCATCTAGCTGGGTTTTGAGCTGCAGTATCAGTTCCTTCTGTTTCTCCCTTTGGGTTTCCAGACGTTCCCGTTTATTCTGTTCACTCTAAGATGAGAAAATACTTAGGTTTGTTTCATAAGAAAAGGAAAATTCAGGGCACATCAAGAATTCTCTCAAACCAATAACGACTAGCAAAATATAAGACATTTCTAAATAATCCAAATGAAATACAGAATTTATAAGATAGGCTCAAAAATAAGAATAATTATTTCATACAGGGAAATTTCTTAAATGTTTTTTTCTTTAAGAAAATATTTGTCTCTCATTGGAAATAGGATATGAATACAATGGGCCTTTTGTTAAGATTGCTTTTCTCTCTCTCTCAAAAGTCTAGTTAGGAGTGAGACACCTTATCTTAGCCAAGACAGCCTCCCAGGAATTAGCCATGCCATCTCCCACAGCCAATTACCACAGAACAACTCCTGAATATTTTCTGCAGAGAATCTGGAGGTAAGGGTGTAGAGAAAGGCTTTACAACTCATAACCAGTTTTTTTAAGATTTAAAGTCCATTCAATGTTTTATAGACATCTACAAAACCAAAAGAATAAAAGCAGATCTGGGGCAATAAAGAATCCAAAGCCAAGTAATGGGGGCTGGGAAGGTAATAGTGTTTATTTATTTATTTATTTATTTTTAAAGATATATTTTATTGATTTTTTACAGAGAGGAAGGGAGAGGGATAGAGAGTTAGAAACATCGATCAGCTGCCTCCTGCACCCCATACTGGGGATGTGCCAGCAACCAAGGTACATGACCTTGACTGGAATTGAACCTGGGACCCTTCAGTCCCCAGGCCGACACTCTATCCACTGAGTCAAACCAGATAGGGCGGTAATAGTGTTTTGTTTTGTTTTTTAAAAAGAATGTTTGGTAAGTTTCTCTGAGCAATGATTCCCTTTCCCACTGTTGGCCACCAGGTAGTTTCCGAATTGAAATGATTATAATCCCTTCAAGGTGGCAAAATCTTGCCAATGTGTACATACTCAAACACTGGTTTTCCCAGTTTACAAAACAAAGCAAACCCAGCACATTATGCAGGGATAAGACTGCATTTCAAACTAGAAGTCTATAGGATATTAAATTTAACCTTAAAATGGTACTTACCAAGCCCTCCAGAAGTAAGGTGTGAGGGAGGACAAATGAAAAGCAAGTTAACTTTTGTTCAAGTTATTGAAAAAGCAATGCTCTTGCTTTCCCTTTATTCAACATGAAAGCAAGTCTTTTCTCAGGATACTCCCTCTGCAATCCTTCCTGAGTGTTTTCTTAGAATCCTTTTTCTCTTCCAGTCTTCGTGCAGGTTTAAGCTGTCCTTTAAAAGGTTTCCTTGATCTTCCCAGGCAGAATTGATCATTCCTTCCACCGTAATTTGTATACACTTCTACTCTAGCTCATGCCACATTGTAATTATTTGTTTAGGATTCTGTCTCCCCAAGTCTATGAGCTCCTTACAGGCAAGGCCTAGCACAGTGCCTAGCACAGGGTAAACTCGCAATACACATTGGTTTTATGTTATTGAATCACATACAGAATGGCATATTCCAAACACAATAGTCACCCCCTATCCGCAGTTTTGCCTTCTGTGATTTCAGTTACCTGCAGTTAACCAAGGTCCAAAAGTATTAAATAGAAAATTCCAGAAATAAGTCTATGGCCATACCACCCTGAACGCGCCCGATCTTGTCTGATCTCGGAAGCTAAGCAGGGTCGGGCCTGGTTAGTACTTGGATGGGAGAAAATTCCAGAAATAAGCCAATTCAAAAGTTTTAAACTGTGTACTCTTCCGAGTAGCATTATGAAATCCTGAGCCTGAATCTTCCTCTGTCCAGAGCAGGGGTCCTCAAACTTTTTAAAGTGGGGGCCAGATCACGGTCCCTCAGAGAGCTGGAGGGCCGGACTATATGAACTACTAATTCCTACTGTAACACCTCGGCTGTGCTCACTGCCCAAAAAACCCGGCGGGCCGGATCAGACTCCTCTGCGGGCCGCATGTGGCCCGCGGGCTGTAGTTTGAAGACGCCTGGTCAGAGTATCTAGGTATCCATGCTGTATCTCCTAACCACCCATCAGTCACTTAGAAATCATTTTGGTTATTTGGACTGTTGCAGTATCACAGTGCTTGTATTCAGGTAATCCTTTCTTTACTTACTACAGGCCCAAAGTCATTCACAAAACTTTTATTACAGTATATTGTCATAATTGTTCTATTTCACTAGTAGTTATTGCTGTTAATCTCTTATTGTGCCTAATTGATAAATTCAACCTTATCATAGGTATGTATATATAGGAAAAAACAATATGTATTTTCAGTATTATCTGAGGTATCAGGCATCCACTGAGGGTCTTCAAACATATTTCCCTTGGACTAGTGTAATGAACTCGGACTAGAAGTCTAATCAGCTCAAGGAGCACAACCAGGTAAACTTTGTGTTTTCACTGTACCCCAACTTTATGGAAACAAAGAAGAAAGAAACCAGCTATAAATCATGAGAATGTTGAACTTTGCCATAATAGTTCTAGAATGTTATTTATTGGAGTGTGAGCAAACAAATTTAAACAAGGAGCTCTGGTGCAAGGCAGGAAATAACAGATAATTTCCAGTGTGAAGTGAGATAAAATACTGGTTTGAAAAAATCAGGAACTGCTAAGTCAGTCAGTCATTTGGTTCACACATATCCCTCACTACCTGCTCTTGTATCAATATTTGTACACAGATCAAAGCTGTTAATTAGGTACTTTTGAACACTACATTTTTCCCCCTCCAAAGTTGTTCTCTGTTTTTGAAAGCAAAAATGAACAACCAAAAGAGCAAATCCACAGAGAACCTTTGGTGCTCCTCACATCTGATCAGGGCCTGCCCACAGTGATTCTTTCCATCCTTTCTATTCCCTAAGAGTCTGGTAATTTGGCGTGGCTGCTCCTTGTCTGTGCAAGGAGCTGTGGGTTATTTGGAGAGAAGGGTGGAACAGTAAACACAGGATTGCATTAGAAACAATCCAGGTGAAAATAATTCAATATCTGTTACTGATAAATCTTCTTGGTTAAAACCAATTTAAGTGGGAAGAAAGCACCTGTGGGTTGTAGCTTTAAGAATAAAAAGGTGGGCCCTAACCGGTTTGGTTCAGTGAATATAGCCTTGGCCTGCTGACACAAGAGTCCCAGGTTCGATTCCGGTCAAGGGCATGTACCTTGGTTGCGGGCATATCCCCAGTAGGGGGTGTGCAAGAGGCAGCTGATTGATGTTTCTCTCTCATCAATGTTTCTAACTCTCTCTCTCTCTCTGTAAAACACACACACACACACACACACACACACACACATAAAGAATAAAAAGGTAGTAGCCATAGCTGGTTTGGCTCAGTGAATATAGCCTTGGCCTGCTGACTGAAGAGTCCAGTTTCAATTCCAGCCCAGGGCACCTGCTCGAGGTTGTGGGTTCGACCCCCAGTAGGGGCGTGCAGGAGGCAGCCATTGAATGATTCCCTCTCTCTTTTTTTTTTTTTTTTTTAAATATATTTTTATTGATTTTGTACAGAGAGGAAGGGAGAGAGATAGAGAGTTAGAAACATCGATGAGAGAGAGTCATCGATCAGTTGCCTCTTGCACACCCCCCACTGGGGACATGCCCGCAACCAAGTTACATGCCCTTGACCAGAATCGAACCCGGGTCCCTTCAGTCCCCAAGCCGACGCTCTATCCATTGAGCTAAACCGGTCCCGGCTGATTCCCTCTCTTCATTGATGTTTCTATCTCTCTCCTTTCCTCTATGGAATCAATAATATATATGAAGAAAAGACAGTGAGTCTCTTTAACACCTCTCTACAACTGCGCATTTCCAGGGATTCAAAGGCTGTAAGGGAACGTTCCTTGGTGTGGTACACAGACTCTCATGACTTCTTGAGGTAGGCTAACCGAATCTTGTCAGTTACCAATGGAATCCCATTAGCCTATCTAGTTATTAAGCAGGATGGGGAAGGAGTTTTTAAAATACCAGCATTAGAAAATTCATGTAATCAGGAGTTGTGTTCCTTTTGATGACTAAGATACCCTGTTGTTCACCAAAGCTCTCACTCAGACAAAGAGTCTCAAGATGAGAGGTTCTCTGGATTCCAGGAAACCACGGACAGAGAGTAGATCTAATTTCCCACGATTTCCAATTCACTTGCTCTTCACCCGCCAATTTCCCCCATCCCCAGGGTCGGGGCACTCTACCAGCAAATGCGCCAGGTGTTGGATAAGGTGACTGCAAGGTGAGCGGAAGTAGCACGGCTTTGGCTGGCTGCTCTGTAGCCCTCTCCAGACTCTCTTCGCCCACAGCTCCTTCGCCCTTCAGGCCATCACACCTTCGGTGGGCACCTCTCACCACAGGTTCCCAGGCCTTCCTGTCCTCCTGTCCACACACCTGTCCCAAGCTTCATGTCTCGGACGCGCGTACTCACCATGACAGGTCGGCTTCTCGCCACTGCTACCTCCATCCCCGTCCGCATCGTCACCCACCCACCCAAGCCCTCCTAGTCCCCTTCCCCTCGGGGCCCGGCCCCCGCTGCTCACCTGGTCCTCGCCCCGCAGCCGGGGCCGGTCCCCCGGCAGCCCGTCGCCCTCGTCGCAGGCGGCGTCCTCGGGCTCCCCGTAGCCCAGGACGTGCGGGCAGCCGCGGAAGGCGAAGTCCTCGAGCTCGCGCAGGAGGCGCTGCTGCTCGGCCGGCGCCCCGCGCACCACCTGGCGCAGGCGGAACTGCACCTGCGCGAAGTGCGAGGACAGCGCGAGCAGCGCCGAGTCCAGCCGCCGCCGCTCGGCCCGCAGCCGCCGCAGCGTCCGGCCCGGAGAGTCGGGCGGGGAGCCCGGGGCCGCGCCGGGGTCCTCGGCAGCCGCCTCCTCCGAGAACGCAGTCGCCCCGGGCCCGGCCTCGGCCACCGCGCCCACCGGGGCCCAGCGCACCGCCTCGCACGGCGGCAGCGACTCCTCTTCCTCCTCCTCTTCCTCCTTCGCCTTCTTTGGTCCCGCGGCCGCCACCACCGTTACCGGCTCTGCGGCTACTTCGACGGCCGCCATCTTGCCGGAAGAGCCGCCGCCGCACGTCAGCGGCGCTCCCTGGTTGCCATGGCTACGACGCACGGGCTGGGAAACCCGAGGGGCGGCAGGTGGGCGGGGCTTAGGCGACGCCGAGTGGGTCTCGGGGGGCGGGCCTTCCCCCGGGGATTTAGTTCGGACCTATGCTTTATTTTTATTTTTATTGAGCGCCTTTTATGAATCTGGCACCGGATGTACTAAGCGTCGGAGGAACAGGTGAATGGAGCGGAGGACGAGCCGTTCCGTGTGTGTGTCTAGGGTCGTGTGGCCCTTATCCTGGTCCCAGTCTCTTCCCAAATGTGTCATCTCTGGAGACCCGGAGCTGTGCAGGGCTGCAGGGGGTAGGCTTTCCCCGCGTCCCCCCGAGTGCGGCTCCCTTGTCAGGCCGCGATCCTCCTGCCTCTGAAACCTGCCACCCACCGACCATATAAGGAGAGGCAGCTGCTGGGGCGTCGCCAGCATCTAAAGATAGCGACCCCGGATCGGACTCCCGACGCCGCTGGGCTGCGGGAGCCGCCATGGCACGGTGAGTGTTTCCGGCCGCCCTTTCTTTCCCCTTTAGATTTATGGGCCCCACATTCTCCTGGGGGGCGCTGCAGGTTCTGCGAGGTCCTATGGGAACTCCAGGCCCCAGGTCTCTGTAATTTCCATGGCCTCCATAACTCCCCAGCTTTCACGCTCACACTATTTTGGATTCTCCCCCCAGATTCACCCTCGCCTCACCCTCACCACAGACACCCGTTTGCATCCCTCCCATGGCACCTCCTCCTGTCTCATGTAGCTCCATTTTTGTCAGGGCTGTAGCGTCAACTATCCCTGTATGCCCCCCTTCTCCTGTCTTTCCCAAATGCTCCCAGTCTTCCCTCTCCCAGCCTTGCGAAGCCCCACCTCCACTCCTCTTCAGGCAGCACGCGCGGACCCTGTGGTACGACAGGCCCAGGTACGTGTTCATGGAGTTTTGTGTTGAGGACAGCACCGATGTCCGCGTGCTCTTAGAAGACCACCACATTGTGTTCAGGTAACGGCCTCCCGTAGGTTGAGTCTGGCTTCCTGGGAACCTTTCCCTCCTCTCATTGCCTCCACACTCAGCCTCTTCAGCTGCTTTGTCTCCTCAGCTGCAAGAATGCCGACGGAGTGGAGATGTACAATGAGATTGAGTTCTATGCCAAGGTGAACTCCAAGGTAAGGGTGGGTGGGACAGTCAGGTTGGGGTGGGAAGGCTGCCTGGGACATGGGAGATTCACTCTACGCCTCAGACTCTGGAAGAATGAGGCTCTCCCTGTGGCAGGACTCCCAGGATAAGCGCTCTGGCCGCTCCATTACTTGCTTCGTGAGGAAATGGAAGGAGAAAGTGGCCTGGCCTCGGCTCACCAAGGAGGATATCAAGGTAGGGAGTGGCCTGGTCTTTCTCCTGTGCTCTCTGTCTCTGTACCAGAGCAGGCACTCATACTAGCTCTGGGAATCACCCTGCCTCCTTTCCCACCAACTGGCAGTCACTCACCAATCCTGCCTATTTGACTACGTGGATAGGATTGAATCCATTATTTCATATCTACCTAATCCAGGCTTCATCCGTCACTGGGTGAGATTTGTTGTGTATTTTCAGCCCCACCCCCAATCTGTTTATAGCATCTCTCCCATTATGATCTGTCTAAAACACATATTTGAGCCCTGGTGAGTGTGAGTGTTGTACCATGCACCAAAAGGTTGCAGGTTCTATTTTCTGTCTTGATTCCCCGTAGGGTGCATGCAAGAAGCAGCCAATCAATGCAATCAATGACTCTCTCTCTCTCTCTCTCTCTCTCTCTCTCTCTCTCTCTCCCCCTCCCCCTCTCCCTCTCCCTCTCCCTCTCCCTCTCCTTTTCCCTAAAATCAATAAAGACATATTAAAAAATAAATAAAACACATTTGACCTTGTCACTCCCCTAGTTAAGACCCTCCAATGGCTTCTTTCTCCTAAAGATTGTAATTTGGCCACTTATTGGTTGGATCTGGCTCTCAGATTTGAGCAGTCTTCACAGTGTTAAAAATTATTTCCATTGCCTACTGATATTTAGAAGTTTTAAAAAATATATATTTTATTGATTTTTCACAGAATGGAAGGGAGAGGGACAGAGAGCTAGAAACATCGACCAGCTGCCTCCTGCACACACCCCACTGGGGATGTGTCTGAAACCAAGGTACATGCCCCTGATCGGAATTGAACCTGGGACCTTTCAGTCCACAGGCCGACGCTCCATCCACTGAGCCAAACCGGTTTCGGCTGATATTTTAGAAGTTTTGACTAGTTGGTGACATATAAAAATGTGGTGAATTCACCTACAAATCCAGATTAGCTTCTCTCAAAAAATGGTGATTTTGGTTGCACTTGTCTAAAATTCCCAACTGCCTAGATTTGGAGCTTTCCCACCCCTTTTTAATTTTTTTTTTTTTTATTGACTTTAGGGAGAGGAAGGGAGAGAGAGAGATAGAAATATTAATGATGAGAGAGAATCATTGATTGGCTGCCCCCTTATGTGCCCTGACTGGGAATCGAACCATGATCTCCTGGTTTATAGGTTGATGTTCAACCACTGAGCAACACCAGCTGGGTTTCACTTGCCTCTTGATGGCTGGGACTATGTATTAAATATTTTTATAATTCTAGTGCCAAGTCTCAGAGTCTCACCCATAGTATCTGTTCAATAAATATCTGCTAAATGAATTAGTAAATAATTGGGACACGGGCCTTGAAGGGCTGTCCCTATCTTTCTTGGTTGATTCTATGATACTTTATGACACAGTTTATATTTCCATATGTGTTATCTTCCCAGTCAATCTGCTCTTGGAGGGCAGAATTTCTATACTTTTCCATACCCTAAGCATTGTGTTTAATGGGCTCTTGGGAAGTCTTTATGGATGATGTGGCAGCTTGGAGATGGGGCTAAAGGGGGCTGTTGGAAGACTACTCCCTTTGACCTTCCCCAAGCATGCTCCTGTGCACACAACCATACTTTTCTGTGCACTTCTGCTGCCCTCTTGGCCCATGACTCTCCGCGCTTCCTCTTTCAGCCAGTGTGGTTGTCTGTGGACTTTGATAACTGGAGAGACTGGGAAGGGGATGAAGAGGTGGAGCTGGCTCAGGTGGAACATTATGCAGAGGTAATGTCATTTTCTGCCCATCTGGATCATTCTCTGAGTCTCTGCACACATTTCTCTGGAGAATTGTCATCAGAGCTAAGCAGAGATATATGAGCTCCTTAGGCTGGCTGCTCATTGGTGCTGATATTCTTTATGTATTTTGTGTAATGTTTATTTAGTAGGGATGGGAAAAGTGAATATTCTATTTGTAGAGTAGAGCCTGTGCTCTGAAGAAATTTGGTAGAATCTTTTCCTACTTTTCTGTAATTTTGTGTGTGTGTGTGTGTGTTCTTGAACCAGATAACTTTATGGGAAGCTCAAACTAAGCAGTATAAGATTCAAATTTAAAAAGTTACTATTTTCACCCTGGTGAGTGTTTCTAAATGGTTATAGCAGTGGTCGGCAAACTCATTAGTCAGCAGAGCCAAATAGCAACAGTACAACGATTGAAATTCATTTTGAGAGCCGAAAACTGACTTCTGCATATGGCCCACAAAGTTTCAATCGCACTGTATATGCGTGCCCGCATGTGATATTTTATGGAAGAGCCACACTCAAGGGGCCAAAGAGCCACAGTTTGCGACCACTGGGTTAGAGCATTCGCCCAAGCAGGAAAGGGTAGAAGGTTTGATTCCTAGATTGCAGGTTGGGGCGAGTGCATGCGGGAGGCAACCAGTCGATTTCTCCCTCTCTTCCTCCCTCTCTCTGAAAAGTGATGGGAAAAATATCCTTATTGAGGATAAGCAAAAAATAAAAATAAATCACTATTTCCCAATAAATTATTTGGTTTCAGAATTTCAGTACTAGTTATTCAAGTTACAAAAACACTAGCAGACCCTGACCTGGATTAGTAAGGAGGGTGCTCTGTGTGTTTTTAAAGTTTTTTTTTTAAAAGGGGGTCAATGTACTTTTCTCCAATTCATGCCACTGATGTGTTGGGGGCCTTACCAGCTGGACCATTCTCCTGTGGCCCGTTAGTATGCAGGTTGCCATTCTCTCCTGTGACTACTTTTCTCTCCCCTCTAGCTTTTGCAGAAGGTCAGCACCAAGAGACCTCCCCCTGCCATGGACGATCTGGATGTAAGTAAAGCCTGCCCCTCAACTCTTCCGTTTCCTTTTTGCTCTTAAAGATAAGATACAATACTAGAAAGCTCCTTTCTTGGTTCCTAGCACATAGCACTTCTCAGTGCATGTTAGCCAAATTTGATTATTATTATTATTTTTTTTTAGCCAAATTTGAATTTGACAAAGAAGAGTGAATGTTCTTCTCTAGGCTTAAGAAAACCCCAGTAAGTGCTCTCCTTCATGGGAGCACACCCGTACCTTTCCCACCCCCTTCCCAGGCATGTTATCTTACCTTTCTCTCTTTCTCCTAAGCTTCAAGGGCCCTTCTTTGCCTCTGTAACTTTTTTCTTAATCCCATTTCTTCTATGGCTAACTTCTCTTACCGCTGTGGCTTTCTAAATAAACTTTTGCTTAAAAGAAAACACAAAAAAACAAAACACCAAACCCAGCAAGACCCTCTTCACTTCTGTCTCTCCCTCTGCTTCTCCATCCTAGAGCAGTGCTGGCCCTGTTGACTATCCTTACAGCTGTAAGGAGCAGTAGCATTAATTGAAATTCTGAAACTAAATGATACATGGCACCTGTTTATTCAGTACTAGTGGTTTATTCAGTACTAGTGGTTTATTATTCCAAAGTTTAAATCCTTCCATAGTAACCTCCCAAGAACTTGTGTGACTCAGAAAATCACAAAGGAAAACTTGGAGTGAGCGGTGTTTGTGAACACAAATGTTCACTCTTTCCTTAGTCTGCAGGTAACTTTTGTCTTTTTCTTTTTTTCTAGGATGATTCTGACAGTGCCGAGGCAACAAGTAGTTAACTTCTGCCCGGTAGACCTGTGGAGGAGGCTGTGGCTGTCTGCCAGTCATTCTGACAAGCTAGGGCCTGGGCCTTTGTCCAGCTGTTTGGCTGAGCACCAAGGTCCTCTGGGATCTCAGATCTATCCTTGAAGCTCTTCATTGTCCTCCTTCATGCTTTCTTTCTTTTCCCTAGCTGCTACATCAGATGGCAGAATAGCAGAGGAGTAGACTGGTGCGACTGCTGACTTCCTACCAACTAGCTATAATCTCTGTATTTGGGCCACTCATCAAGCTTTCTAGTATGTGTGTCTATGGTAGAGCAACATCCAAAGAAGTAGCATATGGATTATAATAAATCTCTAGGAACTGGTCGATCTCTTTCGTGCTTGTACTTCTTCCTCCTGGAGGCAAGCCTCTTCTCCCTCTATAGTTCCTCTTCAGGGGAGGAGTAGGTGTTAGAGATCCTGGCCCTCATCACTGAGGTTAAAAGAAGAAATCTGTTGGTACCTGTCCCCCGCCCTCGGGGAAAAGCAGCGTGTCCTCCAGCACCACCTGGAAGCCACTCAGCACTTCCTTTTTGCCTTTGCTCCCTTCAGTCTGCAGCTCCGCGGGGCGGCACGAGAGCACGGTGGTGAACTGAACAGAGAGGGACGGAAGAACAAATGGAATCTAGCTCGGCTCGCCCTCTCCCCGCAGCGCCCCATCTGCTTGCCCAGCGGCCGCACCTCCCGGGCATAGCTGTCGCGCTGACACCGGAACGCCATCGCCGCCGTGGTCCCCGGAGGCTGTAACCAGGCTAGGGGACTTCCCCATGCACAGATCTGTGCTCTGATTTCTCAGAGCAGAAACCAGCCTTTCACTATATGGCGAATACTGCCACTCTTAGAATCAGCCAGAAACCTACCTCAGCTTCCTGCACACTCCAGAAATCTCTCTATACTTTTAAAGCTGACATTAGTTCTTAAACTAAAAACAAAAACAAAACAATTGCTAATACATAGTTATATTTGTATTATGTTCTACAGTTTACTATTAGCTCATTAAATAATTAGGTATTTTCTTCATAGGTCATCAATCGGGTAACAATAAGGGGCAAAGTTGTGACTTGAATTTGTATAGCATGTCCTCTTATCCACATTTCTGAAAACCAACAACAACAAAAAATGGACATCAAAACTCATTTTGACAGCAAAACATGACCTAAACTGATGTGAGGCTGTTTATAATGTTTATTCCATTTAGTATATTTATTTCTCAGCATAAATATTAATGAGTTTGATTACCTGATGTTGCTCTTGAGTTCCAAATGGAGCGTGTTAGGTAACAACACACAGCGTATCCTCTCCATTACTGCCTCAAATCTGAAAGATCCTAAATTCTGAAACATCTGGAGTCTTCAGGTTTTTTATTAGCTGATTGGAAAGAGCAGAAGGCAAGTTAATTCTAATTTTTAAGCGGTTAAAGTCTTAAGGCACTGTCCAGCACTAGTCACATGTGGTTAATACTTGAAATATGGGTAATCCGAACTGAGATGTGAGTGTAAAATACACACCGATAATTTTACACGGGGGGAAAACCCTAATTTTTATATGCCTACTACACGATGAAAGTATTATGGGTATGCTGACTTAAGTAAACTATTAACAAATGTGGCTTGCATTTTTCTACTGGGCACGCTGTTGTGCATCCAAGCCGATACCATGCCCACCTCTGCACATCCTTGGAGCCCGACCGGCCAAACTAAGTGCCTTGACAAGTTCAGGCCACAGTTTTGTCCTCTGGTCCTTTACCAAGTCAAAACCGTTGCTAAACTGCCCAGAACGCCTGCACATCGCGTTTTCAAACAAGTTTGTCCCAACCACATCCCATTCCTTGCTTTCCCGCTTCTGCGCAGAGACGCGTTCGTGCTGAGGATTGTCCTGCGCCGGCTTCCGTCCACCCCCAGCCCGGGCGCTCCGGCGCGTGGGTCCCGCCTCCCGGGCCCGCGGCGGCGATGGCGTTCCGGTGTCAGCGCGATAGCTACGCCCGGGAGGTGCGGCCGCTGGGCGAGCGGATGGGGCGCTGCGGGGAGAGGGCGAGCCGAGCTAGATTCCGTTTGTTCTTCCGTCCCTCTCTGTTCAGTTCACCACCACCGTGGTCTCCTGCCGCCCCGCGGAGCTGCAGACCGAAGGGAGCAAAGGCAAAAAGGAAGTGCTGAGCGGCTTCCAGGTGGTGCTGGAGGACACGCTGCTTTTCCCCGAGGGCGGGGGACAGGTACCAGACCCGTCCTCCCCTCCGTCCCCCTCCCACGGAGCCCCTGTTTCCCCTCTGCCGGGGTCCCTGTCTCCCACTGCCGCCCGTCTGTATGTATTTCTCTTCCCCAGCCTGATGACCATGGCACGATCAATGGCATCTCCGTGCTGAGAGTGACCCGCCGCGGGGCCGAGGCCGATCATTTCACACAGACGCCCTTGGCCCCTGGCACTGAGGTCCACGTCCAGGTGGACTGGGAGCGGAGGTTTGACCACATGCAGCAGCATTCAGGTAGGTGGGGTCGGGATCGGCGATCTGTCGGAGGGGCAATTGCTCTGTATGGAGATGCTCCGTATGTGCGGGGATGCCACGATGAGTCAGATAGGGTTTGGGTTCTCTAGGAGAGAGAGGTACCTTTTGGAAAAGTCAGACGAATGCAGAATCAGCTCCGATGGAGGCAGGTTATGATAGATGTTACAAAAACAATATGAGCAATTAAAAGTATTAGGATGTGGTCCTGGCCGGGAGGTTTAATTGGTAGAGCATTGCCCCAACACACCAAGGTTGTAGGTTCAATTTTCCTGGCCAGGGCACATACTAGAAACAGCTAATGAATGCATAAATAAATGGAACAACAAACGGGTGTGTTTAAAAAAAAATATACATATATGTGTGTGTGTGTGTGTGTGTGTGTGTGTGTGTATATACACACACACACATATATATATATATATATATATATATATATATATATATATATTTTTTTTTTTTTTTTTACAGAGAGGAAAAGTAGAGGGATAGAGAGTTAGAAACACTGGTCAGCTGTCTCCTGCACACCTCCCACTGGGGATGTGTTTGAAACCAAGATACATGCCCTTGACTGGAAATGAACTTGGGGCCTTTCAGTCCACAGACCAATGCTTTATCCACTGAGCCAAACTGGTTAAGGCTAAATTGATGTTTGTTTGTGGGGCCCCCCCCCCCCCATCTTTCCTCATTCCTCTCTCTCTTAAATCAACCAATGAAAATTAAAAGAAAAGTATTAGAATAACTCCTGGATTTGAGTGTTACCAACTTCCCATCATTATCTGGATGTGCCATAAACTTTTAAACTCAGAACATTTAGAATGGTATTTTTTTTTTTAAAAAAAAAACCTTGGCTGGTGTGACTCAGTTGGTGGAGTGTTGTCCAGTGCCATGAAAGGTCATGGGTTAGATTCCCAGTCAGGGTACATGTCCACGTTGTGGGCTTGGTTTCTGGTCGGGATGTGTTGTGTTCGGGAGGCAACCAATTGATATGTCTCCCCCCCCCCCCCTCCTTTCCTCTCTAACATGAATAAAAACATTTTTTTAAAAAGTCACCCATTTCCCCAGACTTGGCCTTCCATTGGCATTCTCTATATTCAGTGCATGGCATCAGCACCCACCTAGTTGCTGAAATCCTGGAAGTTAGTACACTTAGTGAGTGATCTCAAGAGTCACTCACTAAGGCCTGTCGGTTTGATTTCTAAATGCTTCTCTATTTCCTCCCACTGTCGGTGTGATCATCTTAGACCACATGTGTCAAACACAAGGCCCGCGGGCCAAATCCGTCCCGCCAGGGCTTGCAATGTGGCCCGCACCGCGCTGTCATCACTGCACTCCGCTGCGTTTCCATCACAATGACAGTTTATGACTGTTCAGTTAACCATTCGGCCCGCGATTTAGGCTGGATTTTAGATTTTGGCCCCTTCTCTGATTGAGTTCGACACCCCTATCTTAGACCCAGCGCCCCTTGTCTTTCCGCAGACCTCTGTAACAGCCTCCCGGCTGCTGTCTCCACGTACAGTCTTGCTTCTTGCAGCCTATTCTTCGAAGAGCAGCCAGAATAATCTTTTAAAAATTAAGATCTGATCATGTCACTCTCCTGCTTAACCCTCTTCAAAAGCTTCCTGTTGCTCATGATAGAACTGTCCTTGCCATGGCCCCCATGCCCTACCTGAGCTGGTGCTTGCTGCTGCTCCAGCCTCAGCTGCTCTCCCTCCCTCTTGCTGTTGGCATTCTGGCCATGCTGGCCTTCCTCTCAATTCCTTGAACACATCCTGCTTCTTTCCTTCTTCAAGTTAATTGCCTTCACAGTTAATTCCTTCTATTCCTGCTCCTCTTCCTCCTCCTCCTCCTGTCACCAATCAGAGATAATGCTGTATCTCTAACATCAAGCCCGGTGCTTGCATGCGGTAGGTACTTGATAAATATTTGTTGAGTGAATGTGCCACATTAGAGCTTCAGCTCAAATCCTGCCTCTGAGAAGCTACATCGCTTTGGCGAGTTACTTGACATTTCTAGGCCTCCGTGTCCTCATTTGTGAAATGGCATCGTAAAGCCTCTTGCGGAATTCTTGTGAGGATATTCAATAAAGATCTCAAGAGTCTTACCCAGTGCCTAACAGGTCTTCAACAGGGAAACTGTCTATGATGATGTGGGAGTATGCGGCTGTCTGGGCTTCTCATTCTTCGGTTTCTTATTCTCTCTTCTCAGGGCAGCATCTCATCACAGCAGTTGCTGATCATCTGTTTGGGCTGAAAACAACGTCCTGGTGAGGAGGAGGCATAAGACTAACTGTAGAGCGTGACTCGTGACTCCCAGCTCCTTTCCCAGGCATGGGTCCGGGGCAGGAGGCTAAGAGAAAGAGCAGCGTTCAAAACCTGCTGGGTTCCCTGGTCCCCTTGAGGTGGGGGGAGCGGATGACCTTGTGTTCCTTAGGGAAAGCGTTAGGATGAGAGGAGAGGTATCTGCCTTTGCTTAGGAAAGAACTTAGAGTGTGGATCTATGTGACCTTGATCACATTCGTTACTACCCCTCCGCTGTAAGATGGAAATGACAGTCCCCACCGTGCAGGATTTTCGTGAGGATTAAATGGGATAATTTATGTGGGCATTCTTTGTAAACTGTAAACTTTCTTACATCGTTACTGTTGTTGTTATCAGCATCCTGTGGCTCCTCTACTTCTTCTGACAGGGAGTTAGGGCGACTCCGGAGTGTGATTGAGCTGGACAGCCCCTCCGTGACCTCAGAGCAAGTAGCTGCCATCGAGCAGAGAGTCAACGAAAAAATCAGAGACCGGCTGCCCGTGAACGTGCGAGAACTGAGCCTCGATGAC